TACAGTTGTATTTTACATGGCAACCTCCATATAGGTGTCAATCGGTGAAAGTGATCGGTGCTATTGAAAGGCTGGCATTGCAGTGCCAGCGAGACTAGAAAGAGTAAATGGGATGAAAAGGGCTCTTACTTCTGTTTTAAGATGGTGGGATCACTTAGCAAAGCAGCAGAACAAGACAGGGTCCTACATATCCTGGAGAGAAAAAGCCCTCACTCCAGCAATGGCCCACTAGAGATCAAGAAAGGATACCCACATTTTCTGGTCAAAATCAGTGTGAAGAGCAGTAAGGGAAAAGATCTACAATGCAAAACCATGAAGAGTTTTACTTACCTAAGAAGCACGCATGCACACAAAATTAGCACAATGGCAGCACAGCCTCTGCCGGGTTCTTGGATGCAGATTGATTTTTAGGTAGGGAGCGCTTGCAGCGTTCAAAGGAAACACGCTAAAAGAAGGTTGCTGAAGAAAGCATGTGTATACATTATTGATTGTGTTAGCTGTAGAAAGACCTTTTGTGCTATCATGGGCTTGAAGTGTTCTTCATATTTTGCAGTTGTAATCCTGAGTAGTCTGAGTAAACTCTGGAAAACTTGGATGAGGAAGACACTTCTTTGAGCTGTTACTAGGTGGAAATTTGGGGATGGAGGAGTATTTCTCAGGCTTCTTTGCCATTTGTGTTCATACAAATACCCACACAGCAAACTATTACACATAAAACAGAAAATTATTTTAATCCCCACAATTTGTGACCAAACCCCACCCCAGTGATGGTGGTGGAGTCATCTACTTGATGCCTGAATACTGAGTAAGGGCAGGGTCAGGCAAAATTTCAATCATGCTTCCTTGTAGAAGAACCCCACAAATTGCCCCTGAGGGGTGGTGGGGGGGGAATCTCATTTCTTTTGGGAGGTGGCTGCAGTGAAATAGTGTTATTTGTACTTTGAGGTTTTCCCAACTGGAAGCATCTTTATAGAAAAACTAAACAACAGATTTGCTATTGAACTTCCCGTTCACCCTAATGGGATTGCAGCATTTCCTATCCACTCTCGGTTTACGGAGCGGGTCATGCCTCAGAGCCCTCTCTTCTAAGCACAGCTTTAAAAATTGTTTCTTCAGGTAGTCAGTCTCACCAGGAGCGGAGCACGACCCCGTGTCTGGAAAGACCTCTGCCAGAGAGCCTGCGATCCCCGGGCAGCGCGGTAACGCTTCACATCTCAGCCTCTCCGTGGGATGGTGCCGAAGGAGTGGAACGCCGGCCAGTCCAACGGCCGCTCCTCTGCCAGCCTTCAGGGTAAACGCAGTCTTAGCTGCTAAAGCAGCGAGAGCTGTAACAGCAAGACTGCGATGACACATTAGTCAAGAGACAGAGTTAAAAATAACCGTGCAGAAGAGGTGCCTGTCGTAGAAATACAATATTGCTCAAGATATTAGCCTCATGCAGGTGAAATTTTCTCTGCCACAAAACCAGTAAGCACCTGCTGATTTCATCAGCTACTTGGGTGCTGTGTTGCAGTATGGCCTAAAAACTTACGTGAGGGTGAGCTGACCCCAGACGTGGGTTAGGGGCTTAATGGGACAACAGCTGCCATCAAGTAAGATCCCAAGGGAAAAGCAGAGGCGGGACAACAGCAGGAGGAACAAGGGCTGGGAAGGGGCACGAGGACTGGCGGCTCCAGCTTGCTGGCCCTGAGAGCCTCCCACTGCCCGTCTCCTCTTTCTCCCCACACCTTGTCCCCAGACATGTGTGTTCCCCCCCAGACAGGCACTCCAGAGAGCTCATCTGGGCAGCACCGAGCGCTCGGCTCTCTCCTGCAGAGAGCATGGCAGCCGGGGCTGCCCCGCTCTGCCCCTGTCCCCCCATCCTGAGGGACATGGCAGCGGCCCCCTCCCCAAAGAGCCGGGGGGGGGACTCAGCCAGCTGTCCTGCCAGACCCCCCCTGCAGTCCCCTGCTGCCGCCCTCGGCTCCTGCTCCCTGTTCTGATCAATGGCTTTCCGATAGAGCCACAGTTCTCTACCCCTCCTTTTGTAAATTTAAATTTTGCTCGCTAGTACTGCTGACGTCCTCCAGCCCACCTCTTGACTCCCCCCCCGCCCGCTTCAAGCCCACTTCCCTGCAGTATAAAAGGCACAAGCCCCCAGCAGCTGCCCTGCTTCTGCTTGGAGCAGCGGCCACCTGAGGAGCAGCTTTGGTGCAAACAGGTGAGTGCCCCTCCGATACCTGCTTCAGCGCTTGTCCTGGCTCTTTTGTGCTGGATTTCCTTTTTTCGTTTGGGGCTTTAGCTTTTCTGCACTGACATACACAGCTGTGCCCAGTAATGTTTGTCCAGTTTTTGCAGCGAAGGAGACGGTGCTGAGGCAACACGACTGAACCTGCGGGCAGTGCCGTGCCCCTGCGAGGAGCCTGCAGCACAGCAGCGTGTCCTTCGTGCCGCTCAGCCCTGGCATGGGCCATCGTCCCAGGCCTGGAATCACCCGGGGTTCGATCTCGTGGGGATTTCCAGTGCTGCTTTCAAACATGAAAACCATTCTCATTTGCATTGGAGGGGGTATACACAGCCGCTGATCTTGAGTAAGATGCTATTTTAGGGCTTAAAGAGTTAAAATGGTACCTTGTCTTCTGAGGACATCCGAGGTAGGTTTAGACCTGGTGGATCTGCAGCAGAGCTTCGGTTTGGTGTGCCGAGAGCCCCTGTGTGCCCAGAGGGAGAGCCAGGCTGGTCTCCCACTGCTGGTGTGACGCAGACCCACGGCAAGCTGTGATACTGCTGCTTCACTGTAACTGTACTTGTGGCGTTAACCTTGCCCTCCTGTGTCAATGGAAATTGCCAGACCACTGTCACAGATGTTGCTCAGCCAAAATTTAACAGCTCTTTCTGCTTAGTGACCAAGCAGAAGTGGCAAGTTGACCAAGTAGCAACGGTGCTGACTTTTGCTGAGCTCCAGGAGCAAAATTATTCCTGAAACTTTTAATTGTGTCCAGTTTTGTTGAAACTAGTGAGCTTTTAAAGTTTTTGGTGGTCATTTAATGGTTGGAAATGTAGGGCACACATAGAGTGACTGTGTGAGGTCTTGGCTTTTTCAATTTTCCCTTTGGAAGAAAGCTGCAGGTCTGTGGGGTAAGGCAGATCTGGACCCGAGGAGATCACAGACCATCTCCCAGCCCCATTACTCGTCAAAGGACTGTGAGTGAGTAACCAGCATTTTGTGTTTATCCTTAAAGCCTAGTGACAAGGTAGAACTGGGGTTAGAAATGCTCAGCATCATGCAGGGTCAAGTTTGTGGCATTATCTCTGCCTCGGTTTCTCCCCATACAAACGAGGGTGGGACAATTAGGAGGAGGAAAAATTAGGGAGGATTGGAGGTGCTGAGCCCCCTGGTTATTTAGGGGTGGCATGTTACTTACTGAGGAGCAGTGGGAGCCATGTGCTTCACCGAAATCCTAGCCGGGTCAAGGGTATGAGCAAAAAGTTCAATAAGTAACGGCACTCTAGAAGGTGGCCGGAATGGCTGATTTGGGCACAGGACCAGCTGGTGGAGACAGAGACACAGCATTGCTCAGGAAAAAACCTGGGCTAAAAGCTTTTCCCTGTATTTTTGTCTTTCGTCAACAAGGAGCTCAAGGCAAGCTCTTCCTTTCTGTCACTCAGTTCCCAGAAAAATCAGACAGCAAGTAATCTGGAAAACCTGTCAGCAGCGCTGTAAGCACATCAGAGAGATTCCTCAAAACATCTGCTTTTTGTCTTACTGAACTTAAGGCTGTGCTAAACATGGAGCAACGAGAGATGTACACCAGCTGAAACTGAAGGCAGAATTCATCCCATGTGGTTTTACATGCTAAGATCATTTAGTCCTGATTGTCATGAGATTGTCATGAGGTATTCAACTTAGAAAAAGTTAATTCACAGTTCTGTTGAAATCACGGGATAAAATCACTTTCCTCTAAGCTGCCTGGTAAGTAACCATCAGTGTGGGAAAAAAAATCTCCACTGAATACTAGGGGCTGAGGAGCTTTGACTTTGCGTTTTAATGAAAGACACGACCAGATTGTCCACATGCTTCTGCTGCGTTGCCTGTGTGGTGTGCTTGAGAGCATCTTGCATAAAAGATTTTCATTCCTGCTCTGCCTGTACTGGAAGCAGGCTAAGATTTTGGCAGAAACAGGGGAAAAATCCCACTCATACACGAGGAGAAACCTCTGTGTAGGCATAGCCCAGAGGATTGCATATAGCTCGGTGCCTGTATATCTACCATAAGCGATGCTTAAGCAAACAGGGCTCCTGCTGACTTCTGTAGGCAGAGGCTCTAGGCTGTCAAATATATAGGCAGACCTTGCATCTTGAAGACAGACTGTCCCAGCGTGGCGGCTGGGTGAGCTGCTGCGAGGACGCCTGTACCAAAAGCCAGCGACAAGGTGCAGGGGTAACCTGGGCCCGGGAGCCTTCACCTCCTGGGTGCGATTTTCCCAACTCAGCACCTTCTGCTCTGCAGAGCCCTTCTCCGGGGGGGGCGGGGGGGCTGGGGGGGATTTCTCATCTGTTTGCATCTGGGTGCACTTACAGGATCAGGACATCTACCAGTGGAGACCACAACTGGAAAGCGTACTTTTGCATGCTGGCTGTGAAAGGGAGTGATGACACAGGAGGAGCATTCCCTTTCATACTGAAATGCATTTAGTTGTAAAAAGAGTATGTAAAATGCAACTGTTAGACATATTTTACAGGTGAGGAAAGGATGATGGAGGTAGTGGCTTTGGTGGCCACTGCCCTCGGTCATCCAGATGGCCACACAGAAAGTCAGCAGCAAGCTCAGGGCCAGGACTCAGGTGTCCTGTGAAGCCACGACAGGGGCTTCCACTGATGGTGAGAAAGAACTGCCCGCTGCAGACTTACCGCAGTTGATGGCTCGCTGCGTAGCCTTTGCCTTCAAACAGAAATACCCAGGACATCCCCAGCATTGGTGTTTCACAGCTACTCACGAAATGGCTCTGACGGATACGAACATGCCATTACAGTTGACACCTTCCTTCACCCCGAGAGCTTTAACTCGTACGTGTTCCCCACACGCACTTTTCTCCTCACAGCCTTCCCATCACTGCTCCGTCATGTGGCATCCAATCTCATGGACACCACGTGCCCAGTGGTCACCAAAGCACTTCAAGCTGGTCACGGTCTACGTGCTGGTGCTCTTGGTATCGCTCAGCTTTGCTTCAGGACAGAGCAGGCCATTTAAACACCAGATAGACAACAGAAGTAAGTATGGACCTCACCTGATGTAATGTGATGGACTCCCATGTGGTGACCCTGCAGTCTCTGGTGCATCGGGGGATCAGGGTTGGTCGGTCAGGCAAAGTTCAACAGCAAATCTGTGTGGGTGTTTCTGTGGTGAAATGGTGTTGTGGGGTCCTGTCCTTCCCTTTACACTTGTAAGTGCATGTACAGAACCTAATGCCCTTCTCACAGCCCTTAATTAGCCAAGGGAAATAGCGTAATTTTTGATAAATAGCAGAGGAGACACTAATGTACAAAAGATTGACAAAGAAAATGTAAGGCAGTATACACTGAATATTTAAGCAAATTTTCAGCTGTGTTCTGTAGCCCTGGGGTAGTTCACAACTTCTTCTATACAGTAACAAGGAAGCAAGGGCCAGAAGCTTAACTTCGCTTTACAGACATCTTCATTTCTCTCTGGAACCATGAGTTGTCTGAAAGTCAAAACACAAGTGGTTGAAGTGTCTCCATTCAGAGATGCTGTGAGGAACTGAGGCTGGCCAGCTGAGGGACAATACCATATATCCCAAGTAAAAGCTAACGCACAGTCCAAAAGATTTTTGAGAAAATCTTTGTCAGGAAATCTCATCTTCCTCCAAGGAGCAAAGGCTGATAATTGTATGTGGAGTGGGAGAGAGGGGGTGTGGGGAGAAAGGTGCGTGGGCTTTCAGTGGCATGCCTTCCCCCATTAAAAAGCACAAGAGATGTTAGGAGCCTCAGTTTTTAGGTACGCAGGTGAAAAAAATGAAGTTACTTGGGTTTCGGTGGGTAGGAGGGGCGTTAAACACTGTGCAGAAAGACTTAAAAGATGTATTTATGGAGAAATTTACACGCAAAGTGAATTTTTTATTTTCTCTGTTCAAGCATCAAAATGCACAGGGGAAAGTTCTGCTGCCTTGCCTGAGACTTTCATATGACTTAGATGATATATAATGCACTTAAATAGAAATTTATTCCTGTTCCTTACAGTCCTCCAGCTTTGGAATGATTTGGCATTTCCTTGGGGTGGCATCATCTCCAGCGCTTTGTAGATTATCCCTGTTGCTACAGCTTAGTCTTTTTATACATCTATACCCCTCTCCACACCTGCTCTAAAACTAGACTAGAGTATAAAAATAAGTCAAGTGTACTTCAGGTGCTTTAAAAGAAAAGTAATCAATGAAAACAACTTCCTAAGCGAACAAGAATTAGCTTTTTATGTTTACCTCTCACACAGGAATTCCCTCTGTACTCCAGTGGAATTGTTAGCCTGTAGAGATAGCATACCTGGTGCACACAGCAGAATGGGAGGCTGGACAGTAGGACCTTCAGGACTTTAGCTAAGGAAGGAGAGTTTAAAGGTCGTGGAACAGGGAGCTACTCTTGCCTTTCTGGATGTAGGCTGCATTGTAACCTCTTCCAGGGTTCAGATCAGTTTTAAAGCATGCTGTGAATTTGAAGCACTGGAATTTGATGGGTATTTTGGCTTGCGTTAGAATTGCAGGTTGCAGCTCAGATGGGTGAAAATTAATTTTGCATCAGAATCCTCTTCCTTTGGATGCTACACATGGAAAGCAACCCTCAAAGGCACTAGAAAGTGGTGTGTCTGGCTGCAGCCTTTCCCCTTCTTTTTTTTCCCTGGGCTACAAATAAGCCGTCTAACACCCTCAAGATATTCAGGAAATGCTGCCTTTAAGCACAGGGGTAGGTGCTTCACTGACTGCTTTGAATTCCAGGTCCTGAGATCGATCCCTTTTGGTACGTGGGCCGTGGCGTTCGCCCCATCGGTCGGTTTGGGAAGAGGCAGCTGAGCAGCAGCCGTGGCAGCCGGAGGCCTGTGAGCAGACACCTGGATTTCATCCTGGACGCTTTGTGGGAGCAAAAAGTGTCGGGGACAGAAGACAACAACTGGTGATCTCTGTTCCCCAAGGCGGTGACCCAACCTCTGTTCTTTGAATTATGCCCTCCCCCTGCACCTCAGTCCTCCAGTTCTGCTTTTGCCCAGCAATCCCACGCTGCTCTTTGTTCTGCTCCTTGTGCCAATTCCTTCAAAAAGAAACATGTTCAGGGTGCAGGAAAAAGACAATGTATGGACACTAGCACTGAGTGCTACCATAGCTTATAAAAACGTTTCTTCATCTTACATCCCCACCAGTCTCCTGATGCCGTTCGCTGTAACGTTAGGTTTATTCAAAAACCACGCAGCTTTTGTGCTGGGATGTAAACTCTGCAGTGCTAAGTGTATGATGAAACCTTCCTGTCTCATTTCAAAGTCAATGGCTGTTGATATGTAAAAATAAAAAGCAATGGTTGGAAGAAAGAAAAAAGGCTCTCACTAATTTTTACAGTACCTGCATTAATGGCACGAAATGCTGGTGCTCTGTGTGTAATTTTTATATAGATTGTTAACATCCTCTCCCAGGAACGTGGCCCTGAACTACCCACTGGCCCGTCATGATTCTTCCTGTATGACTGGAGAGATATACTAAGGAACAAAAAGGAGCTCCTATCAAAAAGAATTATTTTTTTCCTTGCTGAAGAAAAAAATAAATAATGGCTCATTAAACTCTTCAGAGGAATTTTGTGCCTACCACATGTAATCGTGCACCATTATCCAAAAGGGGCAAGGTCCTCAACTGGCTGATTCCCTTTAAAACAACATAGTTGTTTGTAAGAACATTATCTGATCAAGCTAAGGTCACTCTTTGAGGATCACAAGCCATCTACCATCTACTGTATATTAGTCCACATCAAGCAGCCTGGGGTTGTGGCTCAATACTCATGTTTGCCATGGTAATTCACTTTGTTATATTAATTTTATAAGAAATGTTATTCACAATATGTTTAATCTTGGTTAGTAACTATTACCAGCAATAATATTCAATAATATTCAAATGCAACGTAATCTATGGCTTATATCCAAAAAAGTTCATTTATAATGTAGCTGATGACCGATGGTTAAGTCTGGGCCATGAGTCATTCTGCAAAAGACAAATGAGAATGAACTTGCATTTCTAGTTGTGCGTTGTTAGGAATTACTACTAAAGTTGAATTAATCATTGCAGATAATTTAACCCTTTTTTTCTCTTTGCACACGGTCTGTCAGCAAGGGCAGTATTTTTATTATAATGAGGTAGTTACTACTATTTATAATACAACATATCTGCTGTCCCAAAGTATTACTTAAAATGTGCTAGTTTAAATGAACGCTCTCATGGTGGAGAAAATATGCTGATAAAGAAATATTTTGATCAGCATTGATCGCATGGGACTTTGGAAGTACTAGAGTAAGATTACCGGCAGAGTTCTTGCTCAGTTTGCAGCAATCCCAGCGAGAGTTACAGAAACTGCCTGAGAAATTCTGTTTGGGATGGTATTTCGCCCAACAGACTCGACAGTTTGGAGAAGACGTGACCGTCTGATGTGGCTAACAGGCCTCCTCCCGGCCCAGCCCCGGCGGGCATAATCGGACCCGAGGGCGTTCACGCCTGCGTCTCCCCTCGGCTGACCAGGGTCGCTCTGCAGAGCTGCCCGTCCCCTGCCTTTGACGGGGTCACTGGTGGACAGGCAGGACCCGAGCACGGCGTGCGGCAGCGCTCTGCACCCTTCCTGGCTGGAGCGCACATAAATCCAAACTACAGAGAAGAACTTCTGGTTTTTTCTTTATGGATCAAGTCCTTGAAAAGGCATTCTTTTCATAAATCGCATTTACTCTTTTATAATTTCTCTTGACAATAATTCTTGGTGAGTACGCAGATAACAACAACAAGGCAAGCTTAATATTCACTCAGACTTAATCAAATAGATCATATAGTCTTCATTTTACCCATTAAAATATTTTCATTTATAAAAATTAATCTAAATATAAATATTAACACTAAAGATTGAAATCACTTGATGACAAAATAAATCTTTGTGTGCTAGAACATATGCTTTTATGATTTTTTTAAAACAGGAAATTATATCTTTGCACATATTTGGCACAATAAACATTTGTAAAAATTCAAATGCCTTATAGCAGGTGGGATTTTTTTTTGATTTTTTTTTTTTTTGCAATGCCTACACAGTACACATTTTCCTGTCAAAGAAGACTGAATATTTTAACATTGTAGCACGATAATAGTTGCTTTTCATGCCTCTTAAGGAAAACAACCTATTCCAAACTTTGTTGGCTTGTTTAAATCACACTAACAGAACAAAAGCCAAAGAGTTATTCTATTAAAATTAGTAATTTCTGTATTGATATTACATACACAATATTAGTTATTATCTGTTAGACGAATATGTATACCAACCACCATTAAAGACATTTCATAACACGCATACCTGCATAAACCAGAACCTGGGAATGTGTTGTATACATACATGAGAACAGTCAAGGAAGGAGGAGGAGACTGGATAACAAAAAATATTACTAGGCATCCTACTCTGTTTAATCTCCATTACTGGATTGCATATATAAATAAAATCTATTTGTTTTAAATATATATTTGTATATTAAACAGAGTGGGCCAAATTCTGCTGTCACATCTGTGCAAACCAATTTCAGAGAACTAGTATTGTGTCAGAGTAAAAGAAGGAATAATTTCACCCAGAACAAACACACTGAGTCAGATCTTGGGCAGACGGAAATTCCTTGAAGGGATGGAGTGACGCTTACGTATTCTAGGTGGGAAGATGGCTGCATTTTGTCTGAGGGTTCCTTACATGCAGCTGGACATCAGAGTACTGACAAGCTAGGTGTCAAATGTGGGTGGCAGATTTGAAACTGGCACTGTTTTTCCAACTGTCCTATCCAGACATTCCTCACCTTCTCCACCTGTCCCTCTAAATCCAGCCTAGCCAGGAAATTTTCCCAATCTTGCCCATCTCAACCATAGACATTTCATGGCCCGGTGTCCCAGGGGACAGCTTTCCTGCCGCCTGGCACTCTGCTAGCAGGCGTTTGCTGGGAGCCCAGGGAAAGGAGCATCAAGGAGCAGCTCTCCTCCTTCCCTGGTACCCACTGCTCTGGGGAGAGCTCACCACTCCTTCAGGCCAGCCTGTGCCCTCCTTCACTCACATCAACCCAGTCTGCATTTGGGTACCTGCTCTGCACTTGGTGTGGAAGATAAGGGATTCACTGGCTTATCACCTCCTCTACCTCCCTCCTTTCTATTCTTCAGAGCAAAAAGTACCACAAATTGGCAAGGGCCTCCTCAAAAAGGGTGAGAGGGACACCCTGTAAGCAGCATCTTCCCTCCTGGGCAGATATCTGCTCAAGGGCCTTCCAGTTTGGCTCACCTTTCAGTGGTCTCAAGAAATGAAAGACAACATTTTACTATTCACAATCCAATTCAGAGTGGTCTAATGGTAGTGGGGTGCACATGGCCACCAGCGACAGGCCCCCACTACTCTACGTTGGCTACAGACTAGTAAAGGAAGAGACATCTGGGCCACATTTGCTCCCTCGTCAGAAAAGCCAGACAACAGCAGAAGGGAATCCCTTACAGGCTGCAGCCACCCTACAACCACCAGCCAGTCAGCACAGATCTCGTCCACAACGCTTTTACTTTCTTTTTCCAATCTTAAAGATTTGGTCAGAATTGATTCTGAACTACAGCATGGCTGGACACCACCAAGCAGACAACGCTACCAAGAACAAGAAGACATACAAAGGTGTTGGTTTCACAATAGTGCTCAGATGTTGCCAGATGCCAGGATCGTAACTCAACAGACATCTGGTCCACATGTGCTGCCACCAATTCATGGTTCAATATGACATCCACGTTCCCCCTGCTGCCAAGAGCTCCGGAGCTAGAACATTAACTCTGCCAAACGTACCCTCAGTGAACAGAGAAGGCTTTGCACATCGCATCTCCTCCTACAAACCCTGTCAAAACTTCTACTGACTCCCTGGGAGCAGAGGTAGGTAAACCGATTCTCCACTCCTACCATGCAGCTGAAAAGCAGCATACACTGCACAGCGTTGTTCTTATTGCTTGACAAGACAGATGCCTACGTGAATACTAAGAGGCCAGCACACATGGGTCACAGGTCTGCTTTGTTCTTTCTTTTTGTACGAAATATTGGCCTATAATTATGATTGACTGAGTGTACAAAAACATACTGCAGTTTAAAGACGACATACTTTAGTACAATCAATAGGGAGAAAAAGTGCATCTTAAAATGTGGAGCCTTGCTTTTGAAACTCAGCATCCTTTCTAGAGTCTTGTGAGAACTTTAAGGCAGAGTTTCCTTTAGCAGACCACAATGCTGAAGACTTGGACAGCTTTCTCAGTGAGGTATCCAAACGAAGCCCTATAACTGAGGCATTGTGGGTTCTTGAGGGTCCATTTTCAGCTGGACATACACAATGGCTGTTAAGTAAAGGCACTCGAGTGTACAGCCTTAGGCAGTGTGTTATTGGCAGTAGGGAAGTATAAGTTTAGTACATCACAGCAGATCCTACAACAGGTTCCTAGAACAGAGAGGGACAGGAAAGAAAAAAAAACATCAGTGAAACACAAAACAAGCTTGCTGAAGCCTCTCTGGAGCCAGGTCCTTCCCTTTCTCACCTCCCTGCCCATTTTCCACTCATCTAGTGGCAGACTGCTTTGGGACAGGCAGATTTTTTCCTTATCCCTCTATGGCTGCTGTAGAAGAAATGACTGGCAGCTGTCCAGTGAAGCCTATTTGTTCAAACCCTGCAGAGCCAATGCCTGGCCTACCAACCCTGTAAATTCCACTCAGGTAACCTTTAAACATTTCTCAAAAATTAGTGAGATTCAAGGTGACTCTCACCTGCTGAGTTACAGCATGCAGCTGGCTCTGTGAGGGTCTGGTTCAGAAGTCTGAATTGCAGGGGACCACTCATTTATTTATTTTTTACAAATAAGGGTAGCACATTCCTGGAGACCTGGCAGCTAGGGTACCTTCACACAGACTGACATTCAGGAGCTGCCATACTATGGTATATAGTCATGCTATACTGTGGTATATAGTCAGACATCTTCCAGGACACTGGTCGTATTTGTTCAGAGCTGCCTCAGCGGTCTCTGTTCTTCTTCCTCAAACTATTAAGAGAAATTTTGTGGAAGATGCTGAAATATAGCTGCCTACACAGATACCGTTACCTCCCTATTTACCAACAGCAGTTTTAAAAACATTTGTTACAAGTTTACCATTAAGTCCTTGGCAGTGCTTTTCCTCTCTTTAGTTCTTTGTGTTAGAGATCCTTGAAGCATGAAATTTCTGTTAAACGTTCTGACAGTGGTAACTGGAGAACCATCTATTTTTTCACCTGGGAAAAATACAAAAAGGGAGATTTTTCACATAACAGATTGAAACAGATGTAATAATACTCCTGAAGAGTCACAGCTTCTAGAGAGAGAAAACTTCCCCTAAGACGTATGAGGAAAACTGAATTTAATTTAAATGAAAACAGCAGGCTGTGATACTCCAAATTTATTAAAGTTTGAGTACATGTCAATCAGTGGAATTACACAACAGTAAAATAAGAGTAATGCAAGGTGAAGCAGGCCCTAGAATTGTCAGAGATAAGGCACTGTGGGGTAAAAAGAAAAAAAAAAAAAGAGAAAACATGAAAGAAAAAAGCACTTTATTTTATAAAGTCAATTCACAGTCCTACCCTAACATATCAGGAAGGGTGCTCAGCTACATCACATGGACTGAAATCTGCATGCAAAAGCTTTAAGAAAGCAATGGTGGGTTGTGGAGGGTGGCAACTGGCGTTGGGTAACTAAACACTGCGGCTGCTTGGGCCTCACAAACTAACCCCAGGCATGCTGGCGCAGCGGCATCCCTGTTGCAGGGCAAGTATTCAGCATTCCTCATTTGCTTTTCCCAGCCTTCTGCTTCTGCTCCTATTGATGTACCACTGTCACAACTTCCACTGAAGAGAAAGCAGTGATGCTTTTTAACGTGACAAATACGTAATGCAAGCACAATGGGAAATGAGGAGGGTGGACATATTTAGGCTTTCTCTGTTCATTTCCTAACTTAATCTTTCCCCGACTTTGCTGAACTGTACATTACAATGAACTCTCTCTCTCTCTAATGTATGTAACAAGTTAAGTGCACCTTTTATTGGTGGAGCTGGAAGTTTTCTCCTCTGCTGTCTTGATGTGTCTATTGTATGCATCTGTAAACAACACATATGCATTACTCAACTCCATTACAGAAAAAGAGGTAAGATTTCCCCAATGCATTTTTGAATACTACATAATGTTCTGGCACCTGGTTTGTTTGCTTTTGATCCCGTTTCCTTGTCAGGCGAACACATGGAGCCACGTTCAAGCCTGCAACACTGAGAGCTGATATTCTGCTCTCAATATCTGAAATCTTCAAAGAAAATAAAAGAGAGAGACAGACAGATGGGGAGGGGGAAAAAGAAGTTTTAAAATTACTGTGGATGCCACTACTAAAATATATCCCTCCCACAGCCAAATCCTCTTTAATCAAAAAATATAAACAGATGGCTAACTTCTTCAGCAATTATGACACTTTCCTGTATTCTTTAGTCCTGATGTTAAAAGGGGCTTAATTTGTTAGTAAAGATAGAATACAAGAACAATCCAACCTACCTTGTGACTTCAAGGAAGAGGCATTTTACTCTATTTGAGGAAAAAAAGAAAGGAGGAGAGAAAATCTACGTCTGCCATCTCCCAGTTACCTTTAGCTGCATAATCCCAAATTCCTTCAAGCTGTGTTTTTTCAAAGGCTGCACTCAAAGACTGACTTTGTGGGACATGTTTCCCAATTCCAAATTAATTTCATGCACATGCAGAGTACATCCTCTGTCACAAAATGTAAATGTTTTATCTTAAATATTTATAATTTAAGTGTCTATGTATGTTAAACACAAACATGCATAAAATTCCAAGAAAGCAAACATCTGGGGGGAAAGAAGTGTCAGGGAAGTCAGACATAGAACCTGACTCCAGATTCACAGTGACACCTGAAGCCGTTCAGTCTGCAGAAGACCTTCTGTTGGCCTCTTTGTCATCCTCCTTTCATAGCTTAGCCCTCTCTCCTCCTCACCTCTCAGCCCCATTAACATATTTACCATAAATAAATGACTGAAGCCAAAAAAACATCACTGCCAGTTCGCTGTCCAGTGCAGCAATGCACTTCTGACATCAGACTCTCAGATCTTTGCTCAGTCCTAAATTGAGCATGCTCCCGCTGAATAAAATAACCAGGCACTTCCCACTAAAGCCTGGCAGAGGCAGATCGGAGTGCCTCGCTCGGTACAGACCAGTCACTGAAATCACCGGCAGTGAGTTGCTAGCGGTATTGGCCCCTTGAGGTCTGGCAGTGTTACCTCCTTCAGCTCTCAGCACCAGATCGCGTTCTGTTCTTCTGAGCCCCAGACTTCCTGGAGCCCGCTAGAGAGACGCTAGATCGCATCTCACGAGAGCAATTGCCTTTTGGCTGGGCTGTGTGCTGCTTAGCAGCTAAATCCCAAGGCAGGCTTGCAAGTGCTAGGCTCTGTGCTTGGCCCAGCAGCTGGCTGCTGTCGGCCTTTTTGGGTAGAACGGTACCAACACTGGCTTCTTTTGGGAAGCGCTTTACAATCTGCGGATTAGAGAAACGGCCTAAGACTGTACGTGGAGTCTGACCACAGCCAGGAGCGTGACATGGAGCTGCCTGGCAGCGAGGAGCAGGTTCAGTGTCAGCACTGCAGTAACAGGCTGGTGCACGCCCACGTCCAAAAACACGCTAGGGGAAGAAACACACAAATATGGTACATCGGGCTGGGCCGAGTGATGCATCTCAGTTTTGCTTTGCTCAGCTCCTATGATGCAGTCAGTCCACTGCAGTACAAAAGAATATCTAAGTAAGTCTGCGCAGACAACAGGTAAGTGCTACGCAAGGCAGTGTGAAAGCTGCAGATGGGCAGAGGCTGCTGTCCTCACCTGAAGCTCCGCGTGATGAACCTGGGCGGCTGCTGTGGCCACCTGATCCTCCAGATCAGCCAGCTCAGATTCTGCAGTGACACTGTTGATCTTGCGTGCGGCGTCTTCCAGGTTGGTCAGCTGCCCCTCCAGGCCGTACACCGTGCTGGCTGTCAGGTATACCTGCAAGGCCAAGGCAGGGAAAGGTGTCAGCCATTTCTGTTCTGGGGGCACGGAGGTTTGAGCAGACTGCATCTTCCACCACACCTTTGAGCTTCCCTCCTTGCTAACCCACTACAGGGAGACTTAATCTGGCAGAAAAAAGCCATGGGGGAATAATCTGAAAACACACTTCACAGAGAGAAGGGAGGCAATGAGATGGCTGCACTCCAAATTTCATAGGTGCTACAATGGTATTCCACAACAGATTTGTTCCAGATTCACCAGCAAAAAAAAAAAAAAAAAAAAAAAGCGGAAAAGTTTGCTTTTTTTAATTTTTGATATTCAATTGCACAACAAAACCCCTAAGTCTACAAGGGGAAGACAACAGATCACACCTCATATAAAGCTGTGTTTATCGAAACATGCCTAATGCCTTCTGGCAATCAAAACTCTGTAAGAATAACTGTTCAGAAGGATATGGTTATTAACTTCTTATAGAGTAACTGTGCTTACATGTACAATAGAGTTTTCTATCCCAGCCTGCTCTCATCCAAATATAAAGCAGCCAAATCCTTCTTGCCTCCTGGCCCTTTGGAGTGAATCTGTGGAGCGTCAATAGACTTATCTGGGCCACATAAGAGAGAATAACAGACTTCATAATTTAGAGATCTTCCCTAAAAACAAGCAACTTTAAATATTTTGACCCACCTACAATACCTCTAATAACTGCAGGTAAAGGTTTCGGTTCCCATTCAGCTCCTCGGAGCGATAATTCATGATACACTTGTGTTTTATGTGTGTCTCTTATTTCACAAAGAAATCTAAGGTACATGGCTGGATGGAGGTCTCTGGTTTATTGAGAAGGGTAATTTTCAAGCATTAGCTTTTGACATCTGTGCTTAAAATTGTGCAGACTCATGTGAAAATACTGCACCTTCTGCCTATTTACTAGATAGCCAAGAGACCGTTTCCATGAGGGTGGTAACAGCACAGTGGAAATGAAATATATATTCTGATTTTCCCCATCGGCAGCCTCACTCACTCTAATAGCAGTAAAGACTCTGTTGCTACAAAACTAGCATGAATTAAACATGTTCTGTGGCTGACTTCATGGTTCAATAGGATCTGAACCAGATCCTTCAGCAGATACCTTCACTTCATACATGTTTTCCACTCAAGTCATCATATCTGCCAACAGTTCCTATATCATGCAGTCCTTTGACATAACAGGTATTCAAAAAATTTCTGGCCATGCAGTGACTTTATGGATCAAAAGTGGTGGAGAATGACTAGATTAAGATTTAAGTAAGTGTTTACTTTTTATTATTTTTTGTTTTATTATTGTTTCTTAATTGCTTGCAATAGCTTTTTTTCCCCATTCTATCAGTTGTTTCAAGGCATAAATGTAGATACATTTTTTTCATAGCTGTGACTTTGCTAAGAAACAAATTCACTACATCTTGTATGAACTGCATCTTGTAAGACCACGGTCTAACTGCAAGCGTGAAATCTTTGAAAAATGTACCTAGAACAAATAAGTGATCTGATTTAACATCTTTGCTGAAGTACTTGGAGACACAGGTGGGCCATAAAGTTAACATGCTGATTTAAATAGAAATGCTCCTGCTTTTGTGGGTTTTAATTATTCTTTCCATGCATTTAAATGATACATCTTTATGGTGCAACATACCACAGCCACTTCAGATGAAAAGGTCATTTTTTAAATTTCCCTATCACACCTAAAAGCTCAGAGAAAGAAGAAAAAGGAACATTATGGACAGAAACATCTTTAGAAAGTTAAAGAAAAGATGCATTTAAATGCTCTGCACAATAAGTTGTACTTTTCAAGAGGGGGGGGGGAAAAAAATCTAAAGAAAATAGGACTGACAGAAAAATGGGGGAAGGGAAGGTCATCAGTGTTTTTGTAACTCAATCAGCCCCTACATTTGTTAAGTTTTAATTTTATTCAGCATTTTCCAGCTAGATCTAAATAAAAGATTTTTCTAAAGAATATTGTCTTTACCTGAGCAATCATTGCGCTTCCAAACAGCAATGGTGTACTTGCAGGTCTCCACTAAATTATGCCCTTATGCATACATTCACATTCAGATTGCGGAGACTTATTTTACCATCATTTTGGTATGTACAGCTTCCACTAAAACCCACTCGACCTCGTGCTGGTACAGACAGCCCTACATTCCCCACACTGGTGCATGCACAGTCACCGAAATGCTACAGAGAGCAAAGGTGAACCTATACACACCCAGATCCTCGTCCAAAATTTGCTGCAAAGAGGACACGCTGCATGCAGATATGCCCCCAGCTGTACTGGGAAAAGATACACTTTCCTGGATTTCTAAAGGCTCTTTAACTCTACTGTGGAGTGTGGTGGTAAAATCTTGAAACCATGAAGTTTTGCCATCTACTTCTTATCCTGTGTGGGGCAGAAAAAGATGTAGTGTGGGGACACAGCAAGGCTGAGCTGGATGCCTTGTGAATTATGCAGGGAACTGAGAGAAGCTAAACCAGAGCTATGCTGCAAGGAGAGCAATGCCAAAGCAAGAAATGCTCTGCCTCAGCATCCAGCCTCTGCTCCATGAGAAATTCCTGGCCCGAATGAATAACTAGGGGCCACAGCACCAGAGATGCCAAAGCTCCACAAGGATGGAGGCATTGTTGGAGTGTAACTGGGTAAAAAAAACGCGTCTCAGATAGTTTACAACACAGTTCTCCACAGAAAAAATGTGGGAGAAACTCTCCCCAAATTGCTCTCTGTCCTCCTGTGGAATTTCTTAGTTTTTCTAAAGGTGTGGTCCAGCCTGGACTTTGATTTTTGTTCTGTATTCACTCTCCTGCCAGATGCATTCTGTGGTGTTTAGTATTTCATGGGGGAGAAAATATCTACTTATCTACTTCTATGATTCTGAAAAAAATTAACCAAACTCAACTAGACATTGTTGTGAGGGTGCATCTGTCACTTAAGAATGAAATGGATATCATGGCAGGTGGCACGAGGAAAGCACTTTGCTCGCCTCAAGCTCAAGTTATAGCCTTTCAGAGCAGGACAGGCCCAGTGCCAGGACTGGTGGTTACTGCCACAGATTATCTCCTGCTCAGTCCAGAGCCGGTGGCTGTTGTGGAAGTGTGTTTCTGTGGAGGAAACTCACTTTATCCCCCAAGGAGAGATTCCATCTGAAAATTTTCTGGGGCTAAAGAAAATCAGGGTCTATTTTCATGAATTGATCAGGATGTTATAACGGGACAGCCTAGATTCCTACCAGATATTTAAGAGCTCCTAATGAAGGAAACAAATCACGGAAATGTAATTACTTAAATGCGAGAAGAAGAGAAAAATCGAAAGTCACAAGTGTACCAGCTCCATTAAGTGGATGCATAAAAATTTCCAATGAGTAGTGACTTCTCTCTATGATTCAGCATTGCACTTCTTCCTGCAGATGACAGGTACTCATGAAAAAGGATGGATGGTTTAGATGTGGGCAAACAAATGTTTTTTTAATTCAGCTTCTCCAGCCTGCTCTTTTTAGCAGTGCAGCAGGCAGCTCCGGCTCCCTGGGTGCTCAGAGCAGTATGCTGGGGATGCATGGCTGGAGGAAGAGCTTCTCCACTTCTCTGTGTGACAAGGGACACGCTTTCCCTGCCTGTCCCTACAGTAAGGAGGTTGTGCTGGGACTTGGAGACGTGTGGCTTCAGCCAGGCATGGTGCAGCCGCACAGCCACAGAGGCTTGGAAGTCTTAAGGTAACTTCTGAGACAGAGGTTCTAAAATTAATTGTAAACTCCGAAACATCCAACTCTCCCCCTCCCCCAAATATTTTCAAGTACAGATTAAAAAAACCCAACACCACAGCAGAGCACCCCTTTGAAACAGGATTTTGTGTTCTGTCTGTGTATTTGTTTAATAACCCAAAATTAATTCTGGACATCCGCTGATGCTGCCTATGTGCTTTCCCTTAGCTGTTGGCACACACACAGGTACACTGACTCACATGCGTGACACTTTCACGTACTGATTTATGTTCTTACATTTTCTTCCAGTGTGGTGAGCTGCTCATCCAGTCTGACGGGGTCGGTCCCCAGTGGGAAGGTCCCTCTTCCTCTGTCCTGAATGTCAGCTGGGAAATCGCAGGGACTGGTGGATTCTGCTATCAGTTCTTCAGTGGCATTGATGACTTTCAGGACTTCTGTAGATATGTTGCAGAGAGAGACAGCAGAGTACTTCTGTTTTGTTACAAGAGCAGACAGAGAAAAAACCAGCATTAAATTAGCACAGAGGGGCAATATGTAAAATCACCTTGCTAACAGCTGCAGCTTTAGCCATTCTAAAACAATATACCTCGCTAACTGCTGTGAACAGACACAAGAACTGTCTAGCGAAACTGGAATCTACTTCTCTTTTTCTCCTGCCCTTTTCCATATATGCACACTGCTACAGCACGCAAAATAACATACACATGCAATGCTTCTACAACACAATTTCTACTGGAGGGATGCTCAAATCTTATCCCAAAGGAGTGCACAAATATCCAGCTTTAAAATCCAAGTGAGCTAGATCAGCTATTTTTGCAATAGTGTTTTAAGCAGGTTTTTAAACACAATCTTCTTTTTTGGGTACTGGCAAATAGATGTGGAATCATCTGTCTCCATATCCACAGGAGGTATCGCATTGCAGCTGCAAACACAGGAGAGCAATCTTCAGCAGCCCTATGAGTGCAGCATTTTACAAAGATGTTTGCTATGAATTATATGATAGCCCTAAAAAACAAAGGTTGAGCTATAAGCATGTGAACACTTGTATCCTCATTTTTTTTACATTTCAATTTACCTTTTTTTTAATATTTATAAAATAAATTATATCAAATACCAAGGAAAAGCATGCAGTTTTATCCATATGCTTTTTTTTTTTTTAAAAAAACAACTATAAGCCTTTTTATCAGTGTTCCTGATTTGTAATTTGTAATTAACTATCTTGATTCTGATGATTCTCACAGAGCTTTAGGCTTGAGGACACTCCTCTGATGGCAATAACATTTCACCTGATGCACCTTCAAGCATCAAGCTCGACATCCAAACTATACAGCTTGAAGATTCAGCCAAAGCTTGATAAAGCCAATAAATACTGTCGCTGAATTTATGTGCAATACCTTTAGCGTTGCTTTGCCTAAAAGAAAGTGTGGGAAGTTTAGACCTAAATTTAATTCATTCCTCAAACCTTCAAATACTTATGCGTGTGAATTAGGGGCCCACCCATCTGTAAATTTTCCCACAAACCAAATATCTGAGGATCAAAACTGAGTAAAGAGTCAGTCTTTGGATTCTGTACAGTAAATTCTATAGTACAGGAAAGTATAACTGATTAAAAATGTCTGTGTGTTATGTAAATGTTGCAATAATTGCCACATTGGCCGGCCTCCTAGGCAGGATATAGGAGAAATAATGTTCCTTTGCTTCACACAAACTCTGGTGGGTTTAACTGGAAAACCTCTTTTATTATCTCTTTCCTTTAATCACCTGTTCATTTTTATGTTAGATAAGACTTTTACTGAAAAACTACTTTTTTAGTAGTGTATGCTCAATTGTTGCATATCAATACATTAAGACATCTTTAGCACTGTTACTTCTCTGAATTACAAGAAATGATTAGATACAGGAGATTAAAGAGAAGGAGAACAAAGCAAATACAGTATGCTACAGCACTCAGATTGTCAGCTTGTTAGGACAGCCAACACAGCCCCAAACAAGCAGGCCTAGGACTCTCTGACTGAGAACAAATACTTGAACCCCATAAATAGCCTACTGTTTTTTCCATTTATTTTCACAAGTGCCAATTAGGTTAAAAACAGATCAATAATTTTATAGGGCAGAAAAAGAAATCAATGTTACTTTGTTTTATTATTTGCTTTTACAAGTACCTAATTCTTATTCTATTCTATGAGTAGTGAACAAAAAAGGATAAAGGCCAGACACTACATTTTCTTCATCATCTTCACTGATGTACGTTCTCCATTTCAAGAACTGTAGCCTCACTTTAGTGTTCATTATTTCTTGAATTTTTTATTATCCTTTGTAGTTAATGACAGATTTCCAAAAAAGATTAAATTAAATTAGAAAAAGGTGTTCTTATACCAGAATATGAGAATCTATATTGGCATTTATTACAGACTGATTACTACAAACCAGGTTTTTCGGGTTGTGTTTTCTTCATAAAGTGTTCTGTGATAGGAAGCTTTATGAAATCAAGATTTTGAGTAAAATATTCTACCTTCTCAATAGGTAGTGGATAGGGGAAGAAAAGTTCTACAAGAAAGAATAGAAGAATCGAATCAAATAGAATCGAATCAAATAGAATATTTTTTCAGCTGGATGGGAGCTACAACCACCACCTAGTCCAACTGCCTGACCACTTCAGGGCTGACCAAAAGTTAAAGCATGTTGTTAAGGGCATCGTCCAAATGCCTCTTAAACACTGCTAAGTGTGGGGCATTGACCACTTTCCCAGGAAGCCTGTTCCAGGTTTGACCATCCTCTCGGTGAAGAAATGCTTCCCAATGTCCAATCTAAACCTCCCCTCCTGCAGAAATGTGATTTTTAGCTTTTCTAGAATTTTGAGGTAAGTTCTTAGTGGCAGATGCTGCTCGACTTTTAAAACCAAAGATTTGTTTCCCATTAAACGTTGCACAAGGCAACTAGATGAACGTTCTTAACGTGTGTGCATCACTGAATGTATCTGGATCCTAGCCTGCAGGTATCTAGACACAGGAGTCTCAACGTTAAAGCTTTTCTTTAAGCTTGTGAAACACCGGCTTTTATATGTAAGATTCAGTAATAGAGTTTAAACACCATAAAGAAATACATAGCAAGCAAAAGTGATTTTCCTTAAGAATATATGTGAAGAGTAGATCTGCCAAAACTTAAAAGCACATGCAATATTTCAATGTATTTAAAAAATAAACTTTGTGAAAATTTTCTGCTAAAGGATATTTAGAACTCAGCTTTGTCCTGGGCTGTGTTTTACAGAGAAGCAAGAAGAGATTAATGTCTGCCTGAGGGAGACATAAGATCAACATGTGGGAAGTTCAGGGGTTCTCAAATTGGAAAAAATGGGCATTCAATCAATGGTTTTGTGTATGTTTTTACCTCTTTGAGCAACCGTCAAAAGCTGCTAAAAAAGCTCATGTTCCAAAATGGCCAGTTTGCAAACCTAGTGGGGTGCTCTAGGTATAATTATTTAACATGTATAAGGGAGGGGGCAGAAAAAAAGTGTCCTGGAGTTTTAGTGGTTCACAACCCTCTTCCCTCCCCGACCACCCACGCCAAACTTAGGATTTATGAGGTTCTGTAAGAATCACCTAAAATTCGCAGACACACGCACCCCAAGATCATCCTGGTAGGTGGACATTTGAAATCGCTATAAAGACCTCTGGGCTGCCTAATTTATCTTGCCCTTGCAGGAAAGGTCACTGTTAACACCTATAAGTGATTCAAAGAGACAGCTATCATGCCATGATGAAGTGTCTCCCATCTGTCTTGTCAAGCAAGTCAAGGAACTAATATGGATGTGACAGACGCAGAAAGCAATTTCTATTACAAATATCTAGCACAGAAAAGCTGAGTGCAACCATTCTTCTTGAAACACTGGGATGCATTCTGATTTCAACTGTGCTACCCTGCTTCTGGATTAATACCACCCCTCCCAAATCAAATCGATGCAGCTGATCCAAATTTGAATATTTCTACTGGTTATGAAAATCTCATTTTTTACTGAATTTGAGACTAAGAGTTTAACGGAATGAGGAAAACATTCATTTGTGCTTTTTATAATAATTAATGCCCACGCTTACAAATATGTTAATGACACAGTCAAAAGGAGAGGCTCAATTTCCCCGAGTTCTTGGTGGGAGAGTTTTAAACCCAATGAAATACTAAAAAAGTGTGTGCATGCAAGCACATATACATATATGTGTGCATTGAATATAATAAAAAGCATCTTGTAAAACTACTTTACTGTCATTTCTATGTGTGATTGGACAGATGGAAAGGATTCTTGTTTTGCTGAAGATTATGTTGCAGCGGTGTAAGCTAGCTCCTGCTGACCATTAGCCATTTCCCTTCCCTTCTGCTGTCTCTCTTTCCTTTCCCTGCTGGTGCTGCCAATATTTCCTTTGTTGTTTTACTTAAGGATGCTACACTGGAAGGTGCTTTATAAAACAGTATTTGCATCCTTGCACAAAGGATGATGAGTAACAGAAGGAAAACAGGATGATAAAACTGAAGCAACGTAAGCGTCCAAACTGCTGAGAGTAGGTGAGCATTAAGTCCTTGTACGTATCTCAGCAGCCTATGACACTTCCACATCAAGTTTCCTTTGCATCAACATTATTGCTTTTATTTTTAATGCTCTTAAAGTAGTTAAGTTCTCTATCACTTGCAGTAATTTCTTCTCCACGTTGTACTCAGCCATTAAACTGGCATGGGAGGCAGTGACTTGCAATTCAATAGAGAAGAGCTGACATCAACCGTTAGATCAAGACAAAGAGCAAAAAAAATTCCCATCGCTAGGAGCCCTGGCAGTATTGACCACATCCTTGATGACTTGTAGTGCAATCATTTTTAGCTCCACTCTTAAGCTGTTCTATCACGCTTCGAGTCGTGTGCCTGTTTTGCAGTCGATATCCCTCATTTTTCTGTAGGGAGTTGAGGGGGGCTGGGGAGAAGAGTTTTGCTTTGCCACTGGTTGATTCATCTTTTCAGAGTGACCTGACTGAATCCAAACTTGATGAAAACAAAACCAAAACCCAAACCCAAACCTGCCTTCCTCATCTTCCCACCCCATGGGAGCTCACTGTACAGCTTTGAGAAGGCCCTGGAAAGCCCACCAAAAGTCCATCTCCATCGCAGGCAAGCAAGATCTGGGACAATGGCCAAGCCACAGTGTGGGATGAACAGAGCCATCGATGTCCAACTACCAATGGCAATTGTCAACCCTGACCTTCAAAAGATCTTTGGTCTAAAAGCAAGCCCAAGCCACTCATCACCACAAAGACTGGGAAAGAAAGCTAAAATCTGCCTTGATATTTGATAGAAGTGTACTATGATAAACTATAGTATTAAGGAATTACTCTTCTGTGCAAGTTTAAGACTTCCTGCCTTGATCTTAACATCAACATCTTCATTTATGGGCACTCGTTTAGAAAAAGAAAGCTAAATTATCTTACAGAGTG